TGCCTCTCCATTGCTGTAAATGAAGAAAAACGGTATCAACATAATCTTTGGGCGCTCCGCGCGGATTTCTTGGATTTGCGCTGGACCCCCTTCTCTGGCGCTCGGAGCGCGCCAGGGGCGGCGCTGGAAGCGCCGCCGGTGGGGCCCAGCGCGGATCCGAGAAATCCGCGCGAAGCGCCGGAAGTTGATGTTTATAGGGTTTTTTCTCCTTCGATCGATTTCCCATGTTCGGGGATGGACAGACCCCCCTTTAGTAAAACGTGGTTTAGTGACAACGACCTGAGGCCCAAACCTGGCGGGCGCAAGCCTGGAAAATAACGGCCACCGCGCCATGTCGAGAACCGAAAACGTACAATTCACTAATCGACGTGTCACTGTTGGGGGTTCTGTCCACCCCCGACATATTCTCCCACATGTTCATCAGCACTAACATTGGCTGGTTCTCGTGCCGACACCCGAGAGCGGCTGCCAGGGAGGCCGCGCGCGGGAGGTGCCCAAGGAGCCCGAATGTCGGAAGCAGCCCATCACGAACGGCAGACGTGTCCGTCACGCGCCCTCGCGGTCTGTGTAAAGGAGCCCAGGGACACACAAATAAATACATACAAATATCCGAAAACGCCCAAGATAGCCCCAAGACCGTCCAAGAAGCCTCCAAGACGTCCCAGGCCCCCTCCAAGAGACCCCCAGGAAGCCTCAAGAGGCCCCCACGAGGCTTCCAAGCGGCCCCGAAGAGCTTTCCAAGAGGCTCACAAACTATCCCCAAGAGGCCCCCAAGAGCGCTCGTCGTCGTCGTCGTCGTCGCCATTCAGGGTCGGCGGCACCGGCCGTAAGGCCTTCGCAATAAATACACACAAATATCAGGATTTCTCATATTTTCAAATATTCTCTGGGTTTTTTTGCCTTCCCCCCCACTTCCCATATTGTCCCCATATTTGCTGGGAAATCGACGATGAATGGTGTCTGTGTGATTTGGTTCCCTCCTGAGACATGTCCGTTACGCGCCCTCGCGATCTGTATTCCGGGGTGCGGTCCTGCGGACACGCGGTCGCCCGGATACGCTCGGCGCGGGGCATCCGCGAAAAAACTTCCCGTATCCGTGGGGTCGCGGCCCAGAGGCCCCACCCACGAGGCCGCGAACAAGGGCACACGAAGCCTGTTGCCTCCCCGTCGCTGTTGTGCATGGTTTGCTACATGGCACAAGCAAGACCGCAGAAACACAATCACACGATGACGCGGAAACGCAGGAGTGTACCACACAGCAGCCACCCATGCACACGCACACGCGCCTTCGTAGCCACTGACCTTGGACGAGTGCGAGTCTCTCCTGGGCAGCCTAGTTGGGCGCCGAGTTACCCCTGATGATGTGGGGCTCTGGACGCCCGAGTTATCCAGGGTAACTCGGGCCCGGGGTAACTCGGGTTCGGATTCCCGACAAAACGAACCCGAGTTACCCCTGATGACTCGGGGCTCTGACCTAGCGCGAAGGATTTCCGGGGTGCGCCGATGGTTGGCGGGGCCGATGTGTAGGCAGGGACAAGAGGAGGCGCCGAAGGAGGAGGAGGAGGAGGAGGAGGAGAAGGAGGAGGAGGAGGAGGCCGAGGAGGAGGAGGAGGAGAAGGAGGAGGAGAAGGAGGAGGAGGAGGACAAGAGAGGCGCCGAAGTGCTCGGAGGCAGGGCACGCCGCCGCGCGGCGGAAAGGCGCGGGGGCCCCGGCAGGCGCTGGGCGCGCCGTGGTTGCCGCAGGACAAGGCCGCTACCACCTCGCCCTGCGCAGAGGCGGGGTCGGGGCCGGCGGCAAGGACGCCACGAGGAAGAAGAAGAAGAAGCATAATAATAATAAGAAGAAGAATAATAAAAATAATAAGGAGAAGAAGCAGGAGAAGAAGAAGAAGGATAATTAAGAATAGTAATAATAAGAAGAAGCAAAAGGATAATAAAAATAAGAAGGGTAATAAGAAGAAGACGCGGCGGGGCGGCTGCCGACAAGGTCCAAGTCGAGGCGGCCAGTGCGCAGCGCACGCCGATGAGGTCCAGGTCAAGGCGGCCAGTGCGCAGCGCACTGCGCAGGGGATCCGGCGCCAGGTGCCCGAGCAGCAGCCGCCAGAGCCAGAGCCTGGCGCCGGCCAGGGCTTACCAGCCTGGAGCCTATCCCTGTCCCTGTGTTGGGGTTGAGCATCGCCTCGTCACGATGGCGATCTTAAGGATTGTCCCTCAGATTCTGAGGGTGCATCCCTAAGATTGTCATCGCCTTTTGGCGTGTCAATCTCAGGGATAGGGATGAGTTCGAGGCTGGTAAAGGGCATCGAGGGCGCGGTTCTGGACCTGAAGCGGGTCAGCCGCAAGCGGGCAGGGAAAATATTGGAGAGTGCCATCGCGCAGGCCCCCTTTGCAAGGGCTCCCAACTTCGCGCTCTCGCGCTGCGCGAAGCGCGAATAACTTCGCGCACTCGAGGGCGCTCTTGGAAAATATTGGAAAGTGTCATCGCGCAGGCCCCCTTTGCCACCGGGGGAACGTTTCACCAGGAGCACAGGCCAACGGGTCCAGACGGACGAATCCCACCAGCCCTTTGGGCGTGAGTGGTTTAGGGAGCTCTCTCTGTCCTGAACACCCCATCTTCCCCTTCGGGGAGGGGTTTACCCCTCCCCCTACCCCCTCCCCCTGGGCCTGGAGAGGGGCTCCCGCGGGTGGCCAGGGGGGTCTTTTTCGACTCCTGGGAGGGCCAAAAAACGACAACCCTCACGAGGATTGTGGCCCCGACGGGGGGGGCGAGTTTGGCCCCTCTGCTCTTCTTTAAGCCAAAATCGTTGATTTTACTTCGGTTTTGGCCCCATTTTGGCGTCCTGAGGGGGCCGCGCTCAACTTCCTTCATAGCAAAAGTATTGATTTTACGAAGGTTTTGGGCTCGTTTTGTCCTTTTCAGGGGGCAGCTCTCAGTGGCGCTTCTGAGGAGGTCGCACGAGGCCCCAAGATGGCCCCAAGAGGCGCCCAAGAGGCTCCCAAGAGGCCTCCAAGAAGCTCCCCAGAGGCCTTCAAGCGGTCCCAAGAGGCGCCAAAGAAGCCCCCAACAGGCCCCCAAGAGGCGTCAAGAGGGCCCACGAGGCCCTCAAGAGGCTCCCCAGAGGCCCCAAAGAGCCCCCCAAGAGGCCCCAAGAGGCTCCAAGAGGCTCCCAAGAGGCCCCACGAGGAGCCCGAACGACTCACACCAGGACGAGGGGCCCCAACGACTCACACCACGAAGAGCCCGAACGACTGCTACTGCGTACGAGTACTACTACTGGTACTGTTACTGTTCACGCGACGATTCCTACTTCTACTATATCTAGAGCTACTACTACTACTACACCTCGAACTACTCATGTCATCGCTCCATCTACTACACCCATACCTGCTATTACTACTATGACTACGACTACGACTATGACTACTACTACTACTACTACTACTACTACTACTACTACTACTACTACTACTACTACTACTACTGCTACTGCTACTACTACTACTACTACTACTACTACTACTACTACTACTACTACTGCTACTCCTCCTACTACGACACATACCAATACTATTTCTATTAGAACTCATGCTACTACTATTACTACTCCTACTACTACTATTACGACTACTACTACAATACAACTACCACTACTACTACCACCACTACTACTCTAGCGAAGCATGCCGACCGTGGTGTGCTTCAGGCGTGTCTCCGCGTGCCCTCGCACATATCCCCTGTGTTTTCTTCCTCTTGCCTCTTCTTCCTCGAACTACTCATGCCATCACTCCATCTACTACACCTATACCTGCTACTAAAACTATGACTACGACTATGACTACTACCACTACTGCTACTCCTCCTGATTCGACACATACTAATAGTATTTCTACTAGAACTCATACTACTAATATTACTACTCCTACTACTACTATTCCGACTACTACTACAATACAACTACCACTACTACTACCGCCACTACTCCTCGAGCGAAGCATGCCGACCGTGGTGTGCTGCAGACGTGTCTCCGCGTGCTCTCGCACATATCCCCTGTGTTTTCTTCCTCCTGCCTCTTTTTTTATCGTTCTACATCTATTTTGTTGGGGGAGCCCGCGAGGAGGAACAGGAGGAGGGAGAGAAGGCGATGGGAGCCAAGACAGAAGACGGTCCTCCTCGACTCCTACACGTAACCGACTCAGACGACTCACGCGACGGCGACCTTTCAGACGATGATGGCGGCGACGACGCCGACGACGACGACGACCATGCTTACGATGACAACGCCGACTTCGACGACGACGATTGAATGGACGACGGCGTCGACGATCCACCGATCTTACCTGTACAGTTCTGCAGTGCACACGCGGCACAAGTGACTACCCTGCTCAGGCTCGCAACTCTGACCTGCACCTGCAAGGCAGGTTCGCCCATCAAGTCGGGCGCGGGCAGCAGGCGGCAGCTTAGGAGGGAAAGGTGAAAGAGGAGCAGAGCTAAGGAACCACGGATCTCAGAGTGTGCGCGTCCTGGACCAGAATGCAGGTGGCGTGAGTACTTGGGGTCCCCCGCCCTGGTGTGAGTCGTTCGGGCCCCTCCTTGTGTGAGTCGTTCGGGCCCCTCGCCGAACGACTCACACATCGAGGCGGGGCCCGAACGACTCTGACCAGGAGGGGGGACCCGAACGGCTCATACCAGGAGGAGAGCACCGAACGAATCCACTGCGCTGAGGTAGCAGTCACACCCACGCAGATAACTGCCTCATCTCCCAGTGTGGCACAGTAACGATACCACCCATTACTGTTGCAGCGATGTATCACAAGGTACTCCCAGTACTGGACGTGAAACCATAAACCATCTCAGCCCACTGTCGGGACACACGCCTGAAAACACAACTGTCGACATGCTTCGCGAGAGCTGCTGCTGTGAGATGGGCTGGCGGGGATACGCGAAGCGTAAAGAATATTTCAGCAAGAATTCGCCGCAACGTTTGGCAACGTAGGCGGTTCGAAAACGCAGGAGGGACAGTGGTTCGCCGTAGGCGTCTTCGATATTCTTTTTGTTCGGCGGCAGTAGTCTGGTCACGAAGGACGGCCGGGCCCGCAGGCAGGCCCAGCAAGGTTGGATGAGCATCGTTTAACCGATTCCCATCCCCGCTGGCATGGCCTTGGCCCCACTGGCCGACTTTTCCCCCTAAGTGTGGATCGGAGGTGAGGTGGTGAGATCGAAGTGGAACGGAGAGCCCCCCTACCGGGAAATCGATTTCGGTTTCGTGTTCGTGCGTACCGTGCGTGCGGGCGAGGCGAAGCTGCGTGGGCGGGCGAGAGGAAAGTCTCCTGTAGCTGAGGCGCGGCTGGACCAAATGAGTCCAGACTGGCGTCCGGTGGCCCGCGGTGTCCCGCCTCCGGCTGAGGCGCGGCCGGACCAAATGATTCCGGACCGGCGTCCGGTTGCCCGCGGTGTCCCGCCGGTGTCCCACTGGTGTCCCGTCGGTGTCCCGATGATTATGATGATGATGATGATGACGACGACGACGACGATGATGATGATGATGATGATGATGATGACGATCACGATGATGATGATGATGATGATGATGATGATTATGATGATGATGTCGATGATGTTGATGATGAAGGTGGTGGCGGTGATCATGGTGGTATCCCGATGATAATGATGATGGTGATGATGATGATGATGGTAATGGTGGTGATGATGATGGTCCCCCGATGATGATGATGTTGATGATGATGTTGCTGATGATGCTGATGGTGTCCCGATGATGATGATGATGTTGATGATCATGATGATGTTGATGATGGCGAAATGACGAGACGATGATGACAATGATGCTGGTGGTGATTATGATGTTGTTCCGATGATGAAGATGATGAGGTTGATGATGCTGTAAATGATGATGATGGTGATGATGATGGTGTCCCGATGATGATGATGATGATAATGATGATGAAGATGACGATGATGGTGTCCCAACGATGATGATGATGATGATGATGTTGACGCTGCAGGTGATGATGAAGTGATGATGACGATGATTTTCATGGTGATGATGATGGTGTCCCGATCATGATGGTGTCCCGATGATGATGATGCTGGTGATGTCGATGATGCTGTTCAGGATGATGATGATAATGATGATGATGGTGGTGTTCTGATGATGATGATAATGATTGTGGTGATGATGATGTTAGGTGTGATGATGGTGACGATGATGGTGTCCCGATGATGATGATGATGATGATGGTGGTGATGATGATGATGATGTTGATGGTGATGATGATGGTGAGGTGATGATGATGGTGATGCTGATGGCGTCCCGATGATGATGATGATGATGATGATGATGATGATGGTGATGATGATGACGACGATGATGATGATGATGAGGATGATGTTGATGACGTTGATGGCGATGATGTTGATGATGATGACGATTACGTTGATTGTGAGATCGATTGTGATATCGATAGTGAGATCGATAGTGAGACCGAATGTGAGATCGATTGTGAGATCGATATTGAGATCGATAATGAGATCGATAGTCAGATCGATTGTGAGATCGATCGAATGAAACAGATCGAGTGAGATCGATTCTGAGATCGATCGAGTGCGATCGATCGAGCGAGACCGATAGTGAGATCGATAGTGAGATCGATAGTGAGACCGATCGAGTGAGACGTTGGTCCCTCCCCCCCCGAACCTCCTTATCACCCGAAGGGTGGTCGTACATATTGAAAAATTGGCCAGTGGATACAGGGATCAGTTAGACGGTGCCGAATAGTGAGGCAATCTATGCAGCCCACAGAAAAACTCGGACGCGCGGGCCCCAAACGGACCATCGAAGAGCAGCGTGTGGCGTGCGGGAACGGCGCCTGGACCCTGCCGGCGCTCCGCTCGCTGCTCTGACTGGTCGCGCGAGGCCTTGAATGCCTTGAATCGCGGGGTGGAGCGCTTGAAACGTATGTGGGGCCCCACGCTGGCCAAGCGAGGTTCCCGAGGAGAACGCAGGGACCCGCAGTGGCAACGTGGGGGACGCCCGAAGAGCACACAGCTTGAAGATACGGGTGCATGCTGGCCCAGCGGGATTCACGAGGACCCGAAGGCAGAGTGGAGAGACCCGAAAAGGACAGCAGATGCTCAAGAAGCCCGATCCTCGAGCCTCAAGGGAGGGAGGAGGAGATCTTGTTCCTCATGGGTTAGCTGGTAAGGGCAACTTGCCGTTCTCCTTGATCAAGGAGGGGGATGAGCAGGAGGATTCTTGACATCAGCAGCCATTGACCCCAAGTCAAAGAGGAAAACGCCAAATGCCAGGCGGAACGCCATTAATACGAACAACAGCAGAGGAAAAGGAGGAGGAGGAGAAGGAGGGAGAGGAGGGGGGAGGAGGAGGAGGAGGAGGGAGGGATGAGGAGGGGAAGGAGGAGGGAGGAGGAAAGAGAAGAGGAAAGGGAGGAAGAGAAGGAGAAGGAGAAGGAGGAAGAGGAGGAGGAGGAGGAGGACACTGTCGGATAACACAGCCTTTCAGGGTGGCTGGCCCCTATATCTACGCATGTGAGGGCGCAGCCCACATATGTAAGGGTCAACGCGTGCTGGGTCCAAACCCAATCATGAGGGGGGGTCAATGTATGAGGGGTCGTTGTTCTCGCATCAGGGATCAACGCATGAGGGCACGTGTCACGGCAGGAGGGATCGACGCATGAGGGGTCAAGGCCTCAGCGATCAGCGCGTGGCGGGTCATAAACACAAATGGCAGGTCAATGCGTAAGATGTCCTACACGAGAAGGGTGGGCCCCAGAGCGACGGGTCAACAAATGAAGGGTCGGACCATAGCGGATGGTATGTGCATTCCACGCGCCTTCTGGCCGTAACATGGTTCAACAGTTAACATCCAGGTACGCAGGACGAGGTAGAAAGGGCGGCCATAACGCTGTTGCGGGACAGCAGGCGGACTTAGAAAAAACAAAGACACCAAGGTAGCAACGTGGCGAAGGAAGATGGGCCAGCTGACCGTGGAGGAAAGAAGCGAATCATAATAACAGCCGAGGACAAAATAACATCCGAAGGCAAATTGCATCCCATAAGGGGGGATAAAGCTAAAAGGGAAGTGTCAACGCATCAGTAATATGCCACTCGCTGGGAGGGGATGCGTGACTCAGGATCAATGGGGTAGCGGAGGGAGAAAAAGAAATAGCAAAGCATAACGGCACCAATGATCCGATGGATCCAGACGCCTCCATACAACCAAATGCAGGCCCTCAAAAGAAACAAACAAAAAACTGATCAGGTGTTCGAGAACCGCTGAGTAGGGCCCGACAGTCTACGGGGCCCTGCAAGGGGATTCCGCCGGCAAAGCGAGACCCTCTCAGGGGAACGCCACGAAGGCTCGCCTATGCACTCCCTCTCTGTGCAAGGCCGAGGGCAGGCGACGAGTGAACCTACCCCAGCACAAATCCCAATCAGGGCTCACGGCGCGGGACCGCCCAGACGTCCGAGGTCCGCGTGGACCCCGCGACGCGGCCCTCCCCCAGAATGCTCTCAGCCAGGCGCAGCTGCCGAGGGGGCCCGGAAAGCGCCCGAAACCGCACGGCGTCCAGGAAAGCCAAGCATGGGGGGGACCCGAAAACACCTCGGACCTCCAGGGCACCATCCGAATACTCAAGAATAGGAGGGGGTCCGAACCTGGATGGCGAGGAGGGGAGCATCAAGCAGATGGCCCCAGAGGTGAAGTTCAGCGGCTCGGCGCGAGCCATTCGTTGCATCGATACGGGCCTTCGCGATGGGCCGTGTGCTCACGCGTCCGCGTTCTCCTCCTCTTTGTCCTTGAGGCCCAGCTTCTGCGCGAGCTTCGCCGCCTCGCGCTCCAGCCCGCCCCTCGGCGGCGAGCCTGGCAAGTAGGTCACCTGAAGCTCTTTATCCTTGCAGCTCCCCGCCGTGAGGGTTAGCTGCAAGGCCTCCATCAGCGCGTGCTGACAACTCTCCCACTTGTTCGCCTGCTGCTGGCCTCCGAGCATGATCTGCAACTTGAAGCGACGGGGAGCCTTGGCCTTCTTCTTGTCGCACCAGCAAGCGTTGATTCGAAAGTGGAAGCAATGTGTGGCCATCAGCTCGAGCGCATTCGGAGCCATGATCACCTTCTGCCAGTAATCCTTGAACAACTCCTGCACTGGCGCCGGCGCGGTCGCTGCCCCGTCCGCGCAAGCCCACTTGATGAATGCCTTGCACACATGGGGCCACGGCCGCCCGTGCTGGTGGCCCTTGCCGCCCGCCTTGCAGCTCTCGGCGCAGGCGCGCCCCGCCTCCTGCAGCGCCTTCACGAAGCCGACGCCCGCCCCGACCATGTAGCACGTGAAGCAGGCGCCAGCCACCTCGGCCAACTCGCGCGCGTCGGCGAGAGCGAGCTTCGTGAGTGCCGGCGGCAGGGCCGCCAGCGCGCCACCTTTGCCGCCCTCCTGCTTGGGCGCCGCGCCCTCCCCGAGCTCCTGTAGTAGGCGCGCCTGCTGGGCGGGCCGCGAGTCGCCGTCTGCCCCGCCCGTCTTGCGTTTCGACGCCCAGCTGGGCCCCTCGAGCTCCATCGAGCAGTGCAAGTGGCAAGTCTTCGAAATGACGGCGGGCATGAATGTGAAGATCGGCTTCAGTTCGAACTCGAGCCTCGCAGAAGCGACATGGGGGCCCTCAGGGACAGCGAGCTCGAGTGCAGCACTGAGCTGGTGCTTGCAGAAGCCAGAAGCGAGCGAGTCCAGCGCGTGATTGTAAGCCGAATTGCGACTCTGGAACCGACTGCAGCAAACGAAACACGAGGTCCCCTGAGTAGACTCCCCCAGCAAAGTCTTACAGCCGTGGGCCGCACGAACATGGGCGAGCCATTGCCTCTTGGTGAGGCGCCACTTATTGCAGCCTTCGACCGTGCACCGAACTCCCTCGGCTTGACCTGCTGGCGCGCCTGGTGGATCAGGGGGGGCCTGGTGGGGGTGGTCATGTGGAGAGATACTGACTGAGAGCCAAGCTGCCCTGACGACCGAAAGATCGAGCTCAATGAACCAGTCCCGCAACTCCGTCATCGAAGAAATCCAAGGGGGCGCCCGTCCAAGACCCCGCATCCTCCTCAGTGTCCGTGGGAACCCCTCCGAAGGGCCTCAAGGTCCCGAACGAACTGGATGGCCCAGGGGTTAGCAGACGGCGCGATGTGGCCCTCGGAGGTGAGCGCGCTGGGGCCCCGTAGTTTTTCGATGTTGAGATCGCCGAGGATGGGGGGGCCACTCACTCGGGTGCCTCGACGGGTTGAGGGTCCACGTCTGATGCCAGCGTTGACGACGAGCCCTGAATTCCACCTCGAGCGGGGGGGCCTTCCAGCACCTCAAGGCGGCCTCCGAGGTGACAGAGCGGGCGTGCCCACCCTCCGAAGACGCGGCTGCCCCTCGCATGGCGTTGCGCCCCCAAAAAAACCACCCCGGCCGCGAGCTGGTCGACCTGGCTTCGAGCGGGCAGAAAGGCCTCGCAGGCAGAACGAGCAGGGCCCGCCGCCCTTGCCAGAAAGACCGCGCGCCTCTCGACGTAGGCGACGCGCCCCGGGCACCGGCGCTTGCCCATGGAATAGAAGCCAGAGGAAATAGCCGACATCCTTGAACTCAGCTCAGCCCGAAACGACCCGCCGCCCATGGCCAGCCCCCAGGATGGCGAGTGGCGCCGGCAGGGGCGCCAGCAAGAAGCACTCTTTCTTTCTGTCACCGCTCGACGTCGAGCGTGCAGACCTTCCCCCGCGAATGACGAGAGACCGACGTTCTTGAGGGGGTTGAGAGCAGAGCCGCGTCGTCTGAGCTCGGCAGAAAGAAATAGATCGCAAGCGCGAGACCATCGAGACTGCTCGCGAGCCGTCTGCCCCTCTGTCGCAATCTTGCGGGTCGCGTCGCCGACGTAGGAAAGAAAGGCCAGCTCAAGAACAAGGTCCTCTCCGTCGTGATGTAGACTGAGCTGGCACCAAGTGGCCGACTCAAGGCCACGCCGTTCGAACTGCGCCTGCGCCGACGCACAGACCGCGCGAATGTCCCGCGCGAGTGCCGTGGCCGCCCGGGGGTCTCCAATCAATGCGCCACGCTGGGGCGAACACAGATATCTCCAAACGTAACAGCAGCAGACGGAAATCTCTGTCGGCCGAACGCCGCGCGGTCCTCCCGCGCGATGCCCTCGCTGGCGTCGGCGAGAGGCTCTGCCAGACCGTCGAGGCGGAGGCGTTGGCAATATCCTTCATGTCCGCGATGTGACTGATGTTGAGACGGCGCAGCTTCCACGCGCAGGGTTGCTGGCCAAGGGTGGCAGCCTCTCGCCGACGGCGGGGGACACAGCCGCGCGCGAAGAGAGGCTCGTCGCGCATCTCGGACGCGTCGGTCGCCGTAGCCTGAAGCCTTTGCCGAGCGGGTCGAGGGGGTGAATAACTCGCTTCCAAGAGAGAGCAACGCCCTGGCCGAGGTGCCAGACCAGCGGCGCCTGCCCAGATCTGCTAAGCCGACGCATGAAGACCACCAGAAACTTGCGCGTGCACCCCTGGTCAACCTGAGGGGTCTCGTAGCCAACGCCGTGATATCGTCGAGAAGCGCGGCGGCAATGGTGAAAGACCATCCACCACAGCTCTAACAGTGCTGACCAAGGTGAGCAAGCTCGTCTCTTAGGGGCTCGTCTAGTCCATCTGCGGATCTCCTGGATGCAATGCTTTGCCCATGCCACTCCCTCCTCTATCCACGGAGCAATGACGTGATGTGCTTCCTGCCCAGTAGCGTCGTCGTAGACGTAGTCGTCGGCCACGCCGCCGCGTCCTGCCGGCAAAGCCCAGTGCTCCGCAAGTCCCTCTCCCGCCGGCAGGGCAACTGGTGCTCGACGGTAGCCCCGCTCTCGTGGTCCGACACCTGCGCCCGCCAGCAGCCGTGAAAACCGAACGACCTCGGCTCGCCGCCCCTGCCTGCGCGCGTCGCTCAGCTCGTCGACCGCGTCCTCTCGCCAACTTCGCCAATGCTGACGTCGTGCAGAGCGAAGAAATTTTGTGTGACATCTAAGTTGCAAATGTGTAGCCAGGAGCGCAGGCCCGAGGTGCTCGTCGACCTGGTCCTCCGAGTCGCCAAAATCAGAGAGTTGTCGCCGCAGCGCCCGCTGCTGATCGAGTAGAGGTTGGATGGTAGCCGCAAGGGTGCGAGATCCTGGTCGGTACTCGGGCGCCTTGGCGAAGTGTTTGCTGCCGATCGTTAACATAGCATCCATAAAGAAACCCCAATCAGCGTTGGGAGTCTGCTCGTCGCGCTGGATATTTCTCCATCCCTCCGAGCGTGTACACATATAGGCTTCCAGTTCCATGAGAAATAAACCTCGTCCTTGTCCACTGCGAAGTGATTGCATGAGGGCCTCGCGGTTCCAGTGAATGCGTCGGAGCACAAAGCCCAGACGCGCGTGCTCGGCCGATGTGCAGTGGATACTGGGCGTCCGTAGTCTGCTGCTGCTCGATAGAATACTCCATACACACGTGTACTGTTACATGGTCGCGAGCCTGTCGCGTACTGATCACCTGAAGGTCGCGTCCAAGGCGTCGGAGTGGGCCCGCAGAAGTAACGCCGCCGAGCTGAATCTGGGGCATGGACACAACATCGATCTGCGTGGCGCTCTTGCAACCGGAAAAAGGTGGGCCCATGGCCTATGTAGGTATTGACCGCGACCAGGCCGAACTCCTCCATCAAGGGCAGAATGCTGTCGGCTGCGTAGCGCTGCTTGTCCTGAGCCGAGGGGCCAAAGACGTCGGACTGGGCAGCCCGCCGTGTGGTGTCTCCGTCCAGCTGCTGGTCGCCGAACACTGAATTCATGCCGATGCAGCACATGGGGAGCACGCGCTTGGTGCTCAAGTAGGGCAGAGAACGCAACCAGTTCGTCAGGGCGTCGCACGTGCGGCGGTAGACGTCGGCGCTGCTCTTCACAGGAGGCGGTGGGTAGTAGACCGAGCAAGCCCCGATGTCGTACAAAGCACAGCGCGCACGCAGCGCCAGCCCGCGGCCAGCCAGTGAGGCAGGGGGCGTCCAGGTGTGAGTAATCGAGCCGCGTCGGATCTTGGCCTCCAAAATGATGCTGCAGCCCGTGCTCTTGTTCGTGAAGGGGCCCCTGGACCACCCGCTCTCGATGCACCAGTTGTGATCCCCAGCTCGTCGCCACCCTGCCTCCGAGGCCTTCTCCCTGCCGTATCCCTTGGCGGTGGTGCCATTCAAGCACACGAAGTCATAGGCCATAGGCCTTGCAGGCCAGCGCGATAAATGTGAGTCGCTCCCCACTGGAAGCGTGCACCGGGTTGTACTGGAGCACGCGCAGCCGCCGCCCAGCCAGAGGAGCAGGAGGCGGGAGGAGGGAGGAGGACGAGGAGGTGAGGAGGGAGGGAAGGGTGGAGGAGGAAGGGGAGGAGGGAAGGAGGAGCGCACAGTGCTGCAGAGTATCAGCGGCGCGCCGAGGGGGGAGGTCCTCTCAGAAGGCGCCGATGCTCATGAGCAGCCCGCCGGCCTTCTCCGAGACGCCCTCTGCGGCCTCGGAGAAGGCCCAGAAAGCTTCGCGCAGAGGCCGGCGACTCCGAAGGCTGTGGTCTGCGAAGGGTGCGGGCTTGCAGCCCACGCCCTGCGGGGGCGGGCGAGGACCTCGACGGCGCTCTCCGCCGCGCCCCGAGGCGGCCCGACGAGGGCAGCGCGGTGTCCCCCAGCCGACGGAGACCATCGTAGAGAACCCCCCGGCGCAGCCACCTCTGCAGTCGCCGGAGAAGGCCTGGAGCCCTCCGGGCCTTCTGCGAAGGCCCGCCCCCTCGGCGGTGTCTACCCTGGGCGCGCCGCCGACGCAATCGCGCGGGTGCGCGCTCGCACGCGCGAGCGCGCACTTGTACGCGTCACTCAAGGCCCACGCGTTCGGAACGCCATGCTTTTTGAAGCAGGCTTTTCCGGCGGCGTCGGCCGACCGCCTCACCGACCCCGGACCCGGGCCCGCCCCATGGACCCAGGCATGGGCCCAGGCCCAGGATCGGTGCGAGGTGGCCAGCGGGCGGCCGCCCGACCTTTGGCTCTTATCCAGTCACGCTCGCGAGAGGGAGAGAGAGCGTGGTGGCAGATGACGCGCCGAGGACGCAGAAAGCCACTGCGCAGAAGCTGCTCACCGCCTCGGTAAACTACGCGGGACATGATCGCAGCGCAAACTGCCGCTGCGCGTGACGTGACGCCGCGGCGTTGCAGGGCACCGTCCGGCCGAGGTATCTCACAACACGCCCCTCGGCGCGGGGGGGAGGCGCAGGGGCAGAGGGGAGAGGGCGCACGCCGAGGCCAGCCGATTAAAGGAACGAGTGGCCGTGGCCGGCCAAGCTGGTCTCGGGATCGCCCGCCTCTGCCTCCTCGGCCACGCGAGGCCCTGCCCGCCCGCGCTCCACCGGGGCCTCGGCCGTGGCCTCGCCGTGGCACGCCTGGGCCGCAGCCGCCAGGAGCCCAGGCGCAGCGGCACGCAGCACCTCCACGTCGCCACAGCGCGCGAGCGCGGCGGCGTGGCCATGACCCGTCATGAGCTCGATGAAGTGGTGCGGGACCCCCGCGATGGTTCCCACGACCAGAGCCACGGCCAAGGCCACGGCGGGGGCCGCGGCCACTGCCGCCGCGTAGATCCCGCATGCGGACGCTGGCACTCTGTGCGCCTCCACCAGGGGTGCGGCTGGCGGCAGAGCGGCTACCTTCAGCGACGGAACGTCCCCTGAGACCCGAAGCTGCAACAAAAATATGCGACATCGCGAAACACCGAGACCGACGCCCCAGATCCATTTTTTCAAGCCAAATCGATCTGTGATGCTCCTGGGTCCGACTCCCGGCAAGGCAGCCGGGAGTGGAAGCGCGGATCTGGGGGCCCACCTGCGGAGCAGCTCGGCCGCTGCGGAGCAACCACGGCGCCCTGGCGGCAGCGGCCTCCTGCGGCGGCTCAGCGGCCTCGGCGCTCCGGGGGAGGTGGCCGACCTCCGCGCCGGTGGCGCCGGGCACGTCGCGGGAGGCGGCTCCGGCGCCGAAGAAGGGCCCGACGGCTTGGCACTGCAGCCGCGGAGACTGCTCGAGGCCTTCGCCCTGGCGCTGGCCCTCGAGCGCCTCCGGCACCGGGCCGCGTGGCCCTGCCTGGGCTCCAGCCTGCGCCCCGGCGAAGACCTGCTGCTGCGACCTCCGCGGGGGAGGCGGAGCGGAGCGGAACGGCAGCGGCGGAGCGCGGCCTCGGCGTCCTGGGGGAGGCGGCCTTCGGCAGAAAGGGCGGCCGACCTCCAGAAGAGAGGAACATAACGCCATAAGCAGAAACGTTTTGGCGCTCCGCGCGGGTTTGTTGGATCCGCGCTGGGCCCCCCCAGCGGCGCCTCCGGCGCCGCCCCTGGCGCAGATCCAAGGAATCCGCGCGGAGCGCCAGGAGTTTATGTCTATGGCGTTTTTTCTTCTAGACCTTCGCGCCGGTGGCGCCGGGCACGTCGCGGGAGGCGGCGCCGGCGCCGCCGAGGGGCCTGACCTCGCCCTCACGAAAAAACGTTCCTGGGGGCCCGCCGTTGGCCTGCGTGGTCGCCTGATGTGCGACGGCTTGGGAGGTTGCGTGCCAAGCGGCCCCGCAATCCCCGTCGCTGGCCATTGTGCTATCGCCGTCGGAAGGGGCGCGGCTGGGCGGTGCTGGAACGAACACGGGCGCGTCGGCATTGGGCTTCCAGGCCCCGGACTCCTCGAGAAACTGCCACGGCACCAGGCCATGTGCCCCTGCCTGGGCTCCAGCCTCCGCCCAGGCGAAGAGCTGCTGCTGCGACCTCGCCTGCTGCGGTGAGTCCAGGGCGCCGCCGTCCCCTGCGGCGCTGGTGGATGCCGTGGGGGAAGCAGCGCCCCGGTGGGAATCCACTGCCAACGTGACCCGCTGCGGGCTGCCGCCTGGGGAGGGGCACGCGTGCCTTTCCCGACCTCCTTCAGTACCTCCCTCCTCCTCTCTGAGAGATCCTGGTGTCGAAATTGTGTCGCTGCGGGCGACTTTGCATTGTCTCGGGCCCTGGGGACCCTCACGGATTGACCTGGCTCGAAAACATGCCGCAAAAAGATGGGATCCAACGATGCCCAGTCGAATGTTTGTTTCACGATGTTGCCATGCGCTCCGTGACGTCGGATCTCAGGGTCGCTCCTCTGAGCGCGAAAAGTGCTCCCCTTCGGCTGCACGCCAGAGCGGCCCTGGGCAAGGGCGGCACGTAGGCTCCAGAAATCCTGACCCCGGATTTTTTGTTGAAGGGGCCCTGGGACACACTAAAAAATATACACAAGTCCCAGGATTCCCCCTATCCTCCCATATCTTCTGGATGTTCGCCGTCCCCCCCCCCCACACTTCCAATGCCTTCCCTTATTGTCCTGGGCATCGACGATGAACTGTGTCTGTACATGGTCTTCCCCTCCTGAACTTGGGCCACCTCCTGAGAGGGCAACTCTTACCTCCGCCGCCTTCCGCCGAGCCTCCGCGGCTTCCGCCGCCGGGGAGCCGCCCTCGCTCCCCTCCGCCGCCCTCCGTCGCTGTCCGCCCAGGAAGAGGTGGCACACCCCTTCGATCCTCGAGGGCAGGGCCCTTCCTGTGGTGGTGGTGGGAGGAGGAGGAGGAGGAGGAGGAGGAGGAGGAGGAGGAGGAGGGGGAGGGGGAGGAGGGAGAGGAGGAGGAGGAGGAAGCCCTGACCTCTCCTACGCTGGGGGGGGGGCGTCCGCGGCGGGGGCGCGCGCCGCGCCGCGCCATCGGGCCCGCCTGCGAGGTCGGGGCTCGGCGCGGCGGCCTCGCCCGCGGCCGCAGGTGCCGCTGACCTGAACTTTGCCAGTTTCATCCTGAGCTATGTTCTGCTGGCAGGAGCGGCCTGGCAATCGTCAAGAAGGGCTACGAGACTATGACCGTCGGCGTGACCGACGAGACCTTGACCGCCGTCATTGGCGAGACGGAGGCTGCCGACGTCAAGGTGGGTGTGATTCTCGGCACCATCGTCGGAATTCTCGATATGCAGGTGATCGAGCGTGGAGTCGTGCAGAGGCTGCTCGACGTCGCGCTGCATATTCGTTGTGCCGTGGCGAGGCCGCGGACGCCCAAGACGTTTGCTACCTGGTGCTGCACCATACAGCGCAGCTCTCCTTCGCCTTGCAGCAGGCGACGGCTGTGCAGAGGGGCAAAGACATTGTGTCCCCCGTGGAAGGCCAGCCGAACAAGGAATACGTCAAGGTGGAGATTGGGCGCAGGACTGGCCTGAAAGGGTTCCAGGTGGCGACCGTCAACCTGGTTTGCAACGCTGGCGGCTGCCACCGCGGCCAGGACGCGGACGCGAAGGTGATCGTGGAGCAAGACGTGGGTCATCGTGGAGGTGAGCTGGGTCATCGTGGAGGTGAGCTGGTTCAACGTGGAGGCGAGCTGGGTCAACTTGGAGGTGAGCTGGGTCACCACGGAGGTGAGCTGGGTCATCGTGGAGGTGAGCTGGGTCATCGTGGAGGTGAGCTGGGTCATCGTGGAGGTGAGCTGGGTCATCGTGGAGGTGAGCTGGTTCAACGTGGAGGCGAGCTGGGTCATTGTGGAGGTGAGCTGGGTCACCACGGAGGTGAGCTGGGTCATCGTGGAGGTGAGCTGGGTCAGCACGGAGGCGAGCTGGGTCATCGTGGAGGTGAGCTGGGTCATCGTGGAGAGGAGCTGGCTCAACGTGATGGCAAGCACGGAAGTGAGCTGGGTCATCGTGGAGGTGAGCGGGTCCACCATGGAGGTGATCTGGTTCAACGCGGAGGCAAGCTCGGTGAGCTGGGTGAGTGGGCTTCCCGAGGCTTGGCTACGCCTATGCGCCCGGCATGCCAGTTCCAGCTCTGGCCAATTCGTCCGTCGGCGCCAACGCCTCCTCCGTGCCGAACGCGCCTTGGCTGCTGAGGACGAGGAGTGGCAGGATGACGAGGGATTGCTATTGGATTCTGACGCAGATGGGGAGGGAACTACGGCTCATGACACGGAGGTGTTCGCGAGGATGCTAGTGAACGGCGTTGCGAGCATGCTACGGGACAGAGCGCTTGCAGACAAAGGCTATCTCCCGATCAGCGAGTTGTCCAGGGAGTTCATGAACCAGTGGAAGTTTCCCTTCGACCCCCAGCAGGCTGGCGAGAGCAACGCGGTGGGCTTGCTGAAAAAGTGGCCCCGCAAAGTGGAGATGCGACACGACGGGGAGCAATACCTGCTCCGTTTCGCGGGAGTGACATAGGCGGGGCGTGAGTGATGCCTTTCTGGAGGAGGAGGGTGGTTTGAGACGGGGGAGACGGCGACGTTTGTGTTGTGTCGTTCCTCGGCGGCGATTGCTGGCGACAGGGGTCGTGTGAACGCGAGCGGGTCACTCCCCCGACAGGCCAGCTGGCCCTCGCGCCCTTGTCCAATCGGGCTCTCGTGATGCAGGCCTAGCAGCTCTGGCCCATCGGCCTCTCTGCAAGCTCTGGCTGCTCGCAGGCGGCGTGTGCCTCCTGCCGTGCAGCCTGAGCCATACGGATCGAGGATCTGTTGGTGGAGGTGGAGGAGGAGGTGCACAGGAGGTTGGAGGCTTTGTTGGAGGATGTTGCGATTATGTGCTGCCTGATAGCCTGCTCGGGGCCCTGGCGGCCTGGTGGATCTTCGACTCCTGGGGGTGCGGCAACTGTAGTCAGAGCCTGCCGCCATCACCGAGGCTCTTGCCGATCCCTTATGTTACCCAATCAGAGCTTGCCTCTGTAGGGGTCCTAGCGGATTGACGGGTATAGGTCAGGTCATGCCGCCGATTCGGTGGCCGGGCCCGGGTTCCGGTGGCCAGGCCCGGGTGCCCGGGTGCCCGGGTTCGCCGCCGATTCGGTGGCCGGGCCTGGGTGCCCAGATGCCCTGGTGCCCGGGTGCCCGGGTGACGGGTGCCCGGTGCCCGGGTGCCGGGTGCCGGGTGCCCGGGTGCCCGGTGCCCTTTAGCCCTATAGCCATATAGCCCTATATCCCTATCGCCCTATAGCCCTATAACCCATATAACCATATAGCGCCAAAGAGCCTGTAGCCCTATAGCCCTACAGCCCTAAAAAGATTATGATTGGGTTTTCTCTGGTATCATATGAGATAAAGACCTTAGGCAGCTCTCCCGCTCAGCGATAATGTTGCTGGTTGACGTCTATCTTTTTCTTGCTGCTTCCTCTGTCTTCGTGCTGTTGCTCGCGAGCTAATTGGCCCACCTGCTGGCGCGAGGGAGGCGTTCCCTTGTTCCGTCGGTGCGCCGCCGCAGCTCTCACCCCATCTCGTCCTCACCACCATCCCTGGTCCGTTCTTGCACTTCCTTCTACGCGTTCCTGTTGCGAACCTGTCTGGTTCGTCCTCGTGCTCCACGAGGCCGCCTGCCTTGCTGCCTCATCTGTCCGTGCGGACGATGAGGCGTCTGCTCTTGCCCGCCTGCCGTCGGCAGGCCCCTGACGCCACAGGTGCGATCGCCTAGCAGCCTGCGCAGATAAAGGTGGAGGAGGAGGAGGAGCAGGAGCAGAAGGAGGAGGAGGAGGAGGAGGAGGAGGAGGCATGCCTCACGTGGCGCGCGGCTTGCCAATCGCTGCGCGCGGCGCGGCAGCAGCAGCACTGCGTGCATGGACTCTGGCCCCGCCGCCGCGCCCCCGAGGGCCGCGCGCCAGAAGGGCCACCTCCGGCGATAGGTCACCCTCGTGTGCAGCCGGCCCCGATCCCTTGGTTCGGAACCCCCCATCCGGACCTCCCAGGACAGCCCAGGATCGAATCGATAAGTCGGATCGGCGATCGAAGCGAATCGGATGCAGCACAATCGGGAGAAGTCTACTTGGCAGGAATCGGCAGGCTAATTCGCCGGCCCAACGGACCAGAGGCGTGCTAAGATCTCCGGTGACTGGTTAACAATTCTCTAGTTCGCGCGCGCGGGGCGGCCCCTGGGGGTCCCCGGACGAAAAGTACCCCGGGCGAGTCCCGGCTGATCCCCGGGCGACTCCACCAGAGCGCTCCATGAACGCACCAACAGGGCTCCGACACGTCCCCGAGAGCCCCAAGAAAGGCCAAGAGGCCCCCAAGAGGCCCCCAAGATGGTACACGAGGGGTCCGACATGCCACAAGATCGCTCCAAGACGCCCAAGATAGCCCCCAGACGCCCCAAGAGGCCTCCAAGAGCACTCCCAAGAGGGCCCCCGGAGGCAAAATTCATTGTTTTTCCTTAGGTTTTTGAAAGATTTTGGAGCTTCCACCTTTTCGGCTTCCCGACGCCCCAAGACGGCCCAAGAGGCCCCCAAGATCGCCCCAAGAGGGCCCAAGAGGCCCCCAAGAGGGCCCCAAGATGGCCCAAGAGGGCTCGAAGACGGCCCAAGAAGCCTCCAAGACGGTCCAAAAGGGCCCCAAGAACGCCCCCAAAGGGGCCCCAGAGAGGGAACACGAAACAACATTTCGAGCCCTCGGCCCTAAGAAGCCCCCACGAGGCCCCAAGAGGCCCCTAAGAGGCCCCAAGAGGCCCCCACGAGGCCCTCAGGAGGCCCCAAAGAGTCCCCCAAGCGGCCCCAGGAGGCCCCCCAAATGCCCCCCCGAGCACGCAAGCAAGTGCAAGCGATGCCACAATGTGCTCTCCTTTCGGTAGACTCCCAACGGGGCCCCTACAGACTTGCAACAAGCGTCAAGAACCTGCCCAAAAAACACTGTCCAGGAGCGTTCACAAGTGCCGCGAAGATTTGGACGCCCGAAATGGGTACGGAAAGAATGGGTACTATGCCCAACAACAAATGTTGTCCCGAACCAACAGCGGCCGCTGTTGGGCAGGCGGCCTTCTGTCTCGAATGGACACAGGCCGCGGCGGCGTGGACAGCGAGTCCTGTGCAAAATGAACAGGAACTGCTGATGGGCATAATACCCATTCTTTCCGTACCCATTTCGGGCGTCCAGAGAAGAAGCCCTCCTTACGCCGGAAAGCCCGGAAAGCCGGGTGGGGTGAGCTGTTCTTCTCACCACCGCGCCCTCTCACACAATGGCTTCCGCACGCCGCCCAGAGCGCGACGTTCGGCTCATGCCCCCAGAACGCTCCAGGAGCGCGCCAAAACGGCACCGGAACGCCCCCGAAACAATCCAAGCGGCCTCAAGTCGCCGAACAATCGTTCCAAATCGCCCAAGATGACCTCAAAATTGCCGTCGAGGCCGCCAAGAAGCCCCAAGAGAGCCTCAAGAGGCCCTCCAAGACGGCCATTACAATCAAAAATCGCCCCATTCCCAGAGGAACATGTACACTTCCCGCATGAACGGCGTTTCGAGTTTCACAGCGCCTCAGACTACGCAAATAGCCCCCAACATCGCCCCGAGACAGCCCAACAATCCGCTAAAATCGGCCCAAGACGGCCCAAGATAACCCCAAGACGGCACAAGAGAGCACCAAGACCGCCCAAGAGGCGCCCAAAGGGGGATTCTGCCCCTAGGAGCACCTCAGAAGCCACCAACATCCCGCCAATAAGTCCCCCAAGACGCCCCAAGAACCACCCAAGAAGCCCAACAAGAAGCCCCAACGACCCCCAAACGGCCCTTACGGGGCCTCAAGAGGCTTCAACACTGCCTCCAAGAGGTTCCCGAGACGCCTGGCAAAAGAACCCCCAAAGCGCCGCATTGACACCAGGCCCTCGGGCAAACGGCAGACATGAGACTGTATGGGCCGGCGGAATGAGCGAAGCGATTAAATAAGACATCCATGTCCAAATCGGAATCCGCAGTCTAATCGAATCGGAATCGGAGTCAATCGAATCAAATTGAACTGGAGGGGTCGACATGAAGACTGGCCTCCCCACATTACCGCGACGGTGTGTCCGTTGCCTTCTGATATCCCCTGAGACCCGACGTCACGATGAAATTGAACCATCGTTCAACAAATTGACCAGAGCCCCGGACCCCGAATGGGGTCGATCCATGAAGGTCCCTGGGGCCCAAGACGAGGCAAGATCTGCAGTTTGAAAAAACTGCGGCACCAAGATCTCGGGGCACCGTGCAGAGCGCGGACCCGTAAGGCACAACCGTGTCAGGAGGAGGCGGAGGTCGAGGAGTGCCCTGGAGCCGCCGTCGGGGTTTCCGCCGCGCCCCGCGCTCTCGTCCGCCGCCGTGCCGCCGGGCGTGCCGTCCGCGGGCTCCCAGTTACCCTCGCTGGCGCCCTTCGCGTTGCCCTGCTCGGGAAACTTCAGCTGACCACCTCGCCGATCCTCGCCAGGCCCGTCCTGGGCCCAGGGGTCGGCGCCCACTTGGCGGCGCGCGCAAGGGGGTTTAGGGGGAGGAGGGGGAAGCTTCTTAGCAGGAGGCTGCTTCTGAGAAGGCGCTGGCCTCGCATCTCCAAACGAGGCCCGTGCCGTCTAAGAAGCAGGGGTGCCTCTAAGAAGCCCCCCCCCCTCCCCCGCACCCCCCTCTGCGCGTGGCCGATGTTCCTTTCCTTGGCCAAGGTAGAACGGCCTGGAGACCGATCCATTGGCGCGGGCTGGACCTGGCCAGGATCGGCGCGGTGGTCAGCTGAAATCGCCCGACCTGCCGCGGCACCTCCGCGATGGCGAGCGCGCGCCGCTCCGCAAGGGTGCTCCTGCAGCTAGCCGGCCAACGGCTCGGCGATTCCGCGCCGAGCCCGACCGGGAGCGCGCCAGCGCCCAGCCGGCGGGCGGCCTCCGCAAAGGCCACCCGCAGCTCCGCCTCCTGCGGGGCCGCTAGGGTCCATGTGCATATCCCATGGGGTGCAGACAGCCACGCAGCAGTTTGCCAGGGGAACGCAGTTCCCCGCAAATGTGGGGCGCGATGCTACTGTAACATCGGTTTCCTCAGTGATTTGGAAATCGCATAACGGCATGGCAGTGGCGTCCGTTAAGCTGCGACGCGTGCGATGTGCACACGGAAAAGGGACTCGACGATGCGGCGACGACCCGACGCGCGCTCCGTTTTTCCTACACATGCGTGGACCCGCGGTGCCCACTCGATCACTTGTTCAAAACATAAAATATATCCGCCGGCCCCCTTGTGGGACCACCAGGCTGTAGGCGCGAGGTTCGCAGTTTCCTATACCAGTTGCAGCTTGTAGTTTCCAGTGTTACAGTTCTGCTTCTTGCTGGTTACTGTAACTAGTTGATTGACCGCGCGAGAGGAAGGGAGGCCCAAACCGACATTTTAGCACCTCCTGGGCGCGTTGTCTGAATTGCTGGGGGGGCTCGAAATCGACACCCCTCACGCAGATCCGCGGGGTCAGGGTCCAATAACACATGGGATTTGCCACATTTCTGAAATTCGGTGCCACCCCTCACGCAGATCCGCGGGGTCAGGGTCCAAAAACACAGGGATTTGCCACATTTCTGAAATTCGGTGCCACCCCTCACGCAGATCCGCGGGGTCAGGGTCCAAAAACACATGGGATTTGCCACATTTCTGAAATTCGGTGCCACCCCTCACGCAGATCCGCGGGGTCAGGGTCCAAAAACACATGGGATTTGCCACATTTCTGAAATTCGGTGCCACCCCTCACGCAGATCCGCGGGGTCAGGGTCCAAAAACACATGGGATTTGCCACATTTCTGAAATTCGGTGCCACCCCTCACGCAGATCCGCGGGGTCAGGGTCCAAAAACACAGGGGATTTGCCACATTTCTGAAATTCGGTGCCACCCCTCACGCAGATCCGCGGGGTCAGGGTCCAAAAACACATGGGATTTGCCACATTTCTGAAATTCGGTGCCACCCCTCACGCAGATCCGCGGGGTCAGGGTCCAAAAACACATGGGATTTGCCACATTTCTGAAATTCGGTGCCACCCCTCACGCAGATCCGCGGGGTCAGGGTCCAAAAACACAGGGATTTGCCACATTTCTGAAATTCGGTGCCACCCCTCACGCAGATCCGCGGGGTCAGGGTCCAAAAACACATGGGATTTGCCACATTTCTGAAATTCGGTGCCACCCCTCACGCAGATCCGCGGGGTCAGGGTCCAAAAACACATGGGATTTGCGATATTTCTAAAATTCGGTGCCACCCTTCACGCACATCAAACTGCGAGAACTCCCTCGGCCCTTTAATCGCAAGGTGTGGTAACCAAGCCCATATACCATACACGTCTTACCAATCGCCAGGTGTGGTACCCCCTCTTGTGATCAGTTGGTTTTGCTGATTGCGACTCGGCTTCGCATGAAGTTTCGATACTGCTTCACGACAGCGCCAAGGCCTCATGACTTAGCTCTTCCATGGCCCATTCTCCGACAGAGGGGGCCGGTGGCAGGGGGCGAAGCCCTTACGGATATATATATATATATATATATATAACACATTGGAAGCGCAGAATGGCGCAACGGCAGCGGGCGGCGGCGGCGGCGGCACAGAGACGGCGGAAAAATGATTCTAACAACTCCCTCCGCGGCGGGACGGGTTCGCGCCCCCCCCCGGGTACTTTGGTCCCCCCAGCGCCTCATCTCAAAAACAAGTTTACGGCGCACAGGGCGGGGTAACAGCTATACTACCATTGGAGAGGGCCGAAGTAGACTGACGCATCCCACACTTAAACAATGCACTGGATCACATGTAGATGTGAATGTTCGAGATCAGAACCTTTGTCTTGATCTTGTGCAGCAAATAGCGCCGGTTGAACCGGCCTCGTCTCTTCCTCTGCGTCTGCCAACGTTTCCTCTGCCGGGAATTCAAATTAACGGACGCAGGCATTTGCGCTCGAATAATACCGCCTCTGTTCACCAACGCTCCACGCGTAGTAGTCGCAGTTCCCCGTGTGATAGCGTTAAGATATGCCATATTCTTGGCATTGCAGAGCTGGCGCGTCGTCGCGGCGCAGTAGCCTCTGATGCAGTGGCAACCCCTGGAAGGTTCGCGGCCGACAATTCATCTGTCTGGGCATGCACGACATCGGCCCGCGCTCGTTTCCGTCATGGAGCGGCAGGGACCTCGTTGGACACGGCGACATGTCGGCGCATGGGCTGCGACTCCTTGGCGCCGACGACGGCGCGGGCAGCGCGAAGCGATGCTGCGGCTGCCCAGGCGACTGCCGGCGGAGATTGCGCGCGTTAACTCCCGAAGCTGGGGCGGCCGGCAGCCGCGCGCCGCCCTCCGGCTGGGTGTCAGGCCGCCGGTCGCTGGCTGCACCAGCGGCCGCGCCTGCGCCTGGCTCTGGAACCATAGTTTCCCATGGTCCTGTGGTCCTATTTTCGCCGAGCGTGACAATGCTAGCAGAGCCGGCCGTGTCCTCCGTAACATTTATCGATGCCAAACTGTGCGGCGGCCACCCTGCTAGCGGCTGCCGCGTGTTCGGCGTCGACAGCGCTCTGCGAGACCCGTGCTTGAAGGTCGACGCCGCCGCCGGCTGAGCCAGCGACCTCATCGACATCCAGTGGGTCTCCGACGCCAGTTGAACCGACGACAGAAACTTCCGCGCTCTTTGCATGCTCGTAAAATGCCAAAGCAATCGCAGCAGTATTCTCATCATCTGCGATAGCCATTCAATCCCACAGATCAGTGTTATCACTGGTCGTCTCTTTATGCAAGTCAAAATGACCTTGGAACTCACTTATGCTTTCATTGATCGATCGCGAAGCATTTCTCGCCTTGGACACGAAATTGATCCCCGAACCCTTGATGTATTGCTCTACCAAATCTGAGCTTCTGACCGTCTGTCTTATTTCCGCGTCTAATGCATGGACGTTTCTTCTCCTGTGCCTCGGCTGCCTCGGACAGCGTTCGGATCCGAACGATGTCTCCAGATCGACTGCGCTGTCTCCACAGCAACATCACTTCATCCCATAATGCATTTTACAACGCGTTCTCGACAATCACTGGAACCCTGCAAGACCGTGCAACTCAGGAATGCTCAGTAACCTCTGCACCCCAGAAATGACCGACGCTTCCGGCAAAGTATTCCGCGGGGGGCCACGGCGTCGTCGCCGCCCCTTTCCATCGAATATACCGACATGCGTTGGGGAGAAGCTCTCTTTGCAGCAGTCGCAGAGTGGTCAGTGGCCAGGTCGAGAATCGTCTGGTCATCCTCTCCCTGGGGCCGAATCGCAAGGTCTTTCCCCCCCTCGAGAGCCCCTCCCGCCGTCCTGTCTGTCCATGGCGCGCCGCGGCTCCGCGCGCGCAAGATGGGGCATCACTCTATGATTGTCTTCGCCATCGTCAGCGCCTGGATCGACGAGACTGACAGCCGCGAGCCGCCGAACACCCCGCGAGCCAAGGCTCGACGGAAGCGCGGCGCCCATCGGCCCCAAATCCCGCCAACTCCGTCGTGCTATCGATCTTGATGTGCGACGCGGCAACCCCGAAGTTCTTTCATGATCATTGCCGGCCGGCCCGCCAACGAATCGAGCGCCGGCGATGGAGTGTCTATATCAGCATGGTCTGATCGGCCCGCCGTTGAACGGGCGCCCACCAGCCAGCTTGCCGCGGGGGGGGTCACCCCCTGCGCTTCCAGCTCTTCCCCATCAAGCCTGGCGCCCGACTGAGGCAACTCATCTCTCGCTGCGCCCCGCGCGAAGGCTACCAGCGGCGGGCGCGACATCGGCGCGGCAATCTGATCAGTGCGCCGCGGGAGACTTGGCCGCCGAGCGGCCGTTGTCGTGCCATCATCCTTCCATGTATTCTACGCTGAGAACCTCCTTTTGAAGGGCTCCAAGTATCGGGCATCGGAAGCATGGCTCACGGCGCATCGGAAGTTTATCTGCAGCGTTCTCTGCTCTCCATGATGGAACTGGATCCTGGCTGATTGGCAAGGTCGGTAATGCCGGCTATCGACCTTGCAAGCCGAAGTTCCTGTCGCTCGATCCATTGCCGTTGATGCCTGGCATATTCCGAAACATTCGCTTAAATCAGCATCGAACCATTTCCTAGCATATGGCGTATATTCGTTACATTTAGCTCTTCACTCCCAAGTTCTATCAGACTCTGATGGGCCTCGATGCTGCAGGCTGGAATCCATATGTTCGAGCGACTTCGACGTGGCATGCGCGTGAAATCCAAATCTCGCTACAGTTGCCTTGCAGCGTGGGCAATGACAGAATTTGAACGACATTTGGGCAATCGAATGCAAATATGACGCCCATCGTCATCCCATGGAAGAGCACGGCGATCGCGTCATTCATGTGCGATGGTATTGCCGTGATTGTTTTGGCGAACAGGCTCGTCGCAGTGGCAATGGACAACGACGTTGTGGCAGCCAAAGTAAACTTCCTTATTGGCCCAGTCATGACCGTGCAACTTAGTCAACGTCGTTCCAGCACTGCCATCATCATGACCACCACTTTTGAAGGCTATGGTTTCAGAAATGTCAAGCTATTTGGGTCTCTGCGTCGAAACCGGCGTTCCATCGGGCGTCATCCGACATTCCCACGCATCCATCCGTCATGGTAAAACCATGACGTGAGCGGACGTCATGGTTTTAAACCAAGGCGTGAGCGAAAAACCAAGACATCAGAGAAACAAAAAACCTGACATCACTATTGCTGGATACGTTGTCCAGCACACATAATTGTACCACAATATAACCGAGAATATCATGTGATAGGTTGTCAGTTGCACCAGACACGATGATTGATTCGATGCTTCTGTTCAGTGCACAGATCAAGTGGAAGCAGATTTGGGACAGGGCCGCGCGACCGTGGTTAGCGCTTGTATCGCACTTTTTGCACACACGTATGTACAAGTGTTACCTGTTAGTTT